ATACGAGGCGTTCGAAGCACGTCACATAACGCAACTAGCATCTGCAGCCGTTCCGCAACATTTCTGGAGGAAACTTTACGAGAAGTTGCTGAATGAAACTTTTGACGCTGGAAAATTCTTTCAAATTGTGGCCGAAGAAAGTGAGGACGGCACTCGAACCTATTCGGTGATCACTTTGGCTGATCTGAAGGCTGATGATCCGAATAAGTTGGTTTTTTACTTATTTATTACTAATGTTATTACGAATATTATTATTATTATTGTTGTTAGGTCGTAGTAATGACTGAGTATTACACCTATTCTTTAATATTTTCAATGGGATGTATGCCGCAAAAACGAGATCGTGAAAAAAGTCATTCATATCCGTCAGAATCATGGAAATTTCAGTATATTTTTGATCGATCATGCGTGGACATTTCGGCCACAAGTGGCTCGTGAGCAACTTCGTGTTATACCCGGTCTGTTGGACCGAATCTGCGCTGTTTTTGACATTGAGGTAAGAAATTCATTCTTAGAAATATTACTTGAGTTTTGAGTCTTCCGATCCAAACTTTTAGCCTTTAGATGCCTTTAGATGAATATTTCTCATCTTAATCAATATCAAAATTTCAGCATCGCGAAGAGGCGGAAAACTTCTCAGATTATGGAAGCGAAACAGAGGCGACACCGGAACAGCCACATGACGGCGGAACGAAACATCCGGAAAATGGCGATACTGGTGCGGAACACGGCGCAGCGGCCTCCGGAGAGGAAGCGGCTGGAGGATCGCGTCCTCAGCTCAGACCAAATTGTAAGTGGAGAAAGCTTAATTCACTTGATGAATCTTTCATTCTGCAATGACTTGTATTTTCAGTTTTCAACATTTTCCCCCTAATTCTCAAAGATCTCCCCACCTCCGCATTCGTCTGTTCGAAAATTCGTTGATTTTTTTGAATTCTCGTATACTTTAAGTTTATTTTGTTCAGTTGATCGTTTATTTTTCGGAAAATTTTTTAGCAAGTTTCGTCGAAAGTATTCCAGCGTCAGCCTCGTGTGGTAGTATTCCGGTAGAGACTGAAGAGGATCGTCGTATCAACGCTGTTTTACACAATATGTGG